AAAAAAAAAAAAATAATAAAAATAAAAAATAAAAATAAAAATAAAAAGGGGACGTCACAGGATTTGACTGTCTTTCTGACCTTTTATATTTCTTGTGTTCAATACATACTTGTAATATGCTGCAGTCTGCAGATCCACTCTGATTCTCATCCATGCTGCTCCCAAAACACATGCCTCTAGAATTCTTCCAAATCTCGCATCGTCATTTACTTCAAAAGTTGCTCCCTCAGCCAACGCTGGAAAAACACAAAACAGACTCATCAATTATTATTATTCAGGCAGCTCCTAGGACCTTATAAATGTGCTGTAATAAATTAAGTTTGTTATCTCCCTGAGTTATGTAGAAGTTTTAGTTGTATTCAGATGCTAAACTAAGCACCAAATTCCTCATGGGAGGTACTAGCAAGAAAGAAGTCCTTGACTGAGGGCCTGGGAATATGTGGTGCAGTCTCAGGTCCTCTGTGTACCCACTCTATAAACTGTGGAAAAGTATAGAAACTTTGCCATAGTTTAAACATGTATGAACAAAGTATGAATTAGGGCCCTGGAGAAAATGTTCTACTCTTATGTCAAATTCACATTGTTCAAATATGCTTTACAGTTTTACACAATTCCATGGATACACCTTCTTGTGACCTTAATCAGAAAATTATTTATGATTCATAGATTCCCAAAGACTCCTTTAAACAAGTTTGGGAAGCTGCTGAAGCTCAATCAACATCTTTAAAAGCTGTTCTAAAACATAGTTATGAAGAAATGCAATATTTTTCCCAAACAAAATAAAAATGTTTTGTCTCTTCCATTCAACCAATTCAAGAGATATTTACTTTAGTCCAGAAATATATTAGTTAATTTTTATAAGCAGTTTTTAAAAGAAATAGGCCTGTAAGAAAATTTATGTAGCCAACAAAAATTTTTACTGGTTCTACTTGAGGTACTAATGGCACTATTTGCCTTTGCTAGTCATTACCAGCTCTACCTGAATCAAAAAGAGAAATATCTCTCTACCACAAATCCCAAAAGGAATAAAAAGTGGGGAGAGGCAGAACATATTTAATTAGGCCTAGGCCTGTTGCCTGATTTTCATTAGGCCCCTGCCTGACTCTGATTTGGCCCACTGTAAGTCCTTTTAGGCCACTGGGCATTAAGACCAGTGCTTATTTTCATGGCTGTTTCAATTCATCAAGAAAATCCTTTGAAAGATGAAAGACACTCCACATTTTTTCACCTGTTGTTCTTTCTTATGTGCCTGTCACTTCACTCGCCAACTCGCTTCAAGCCAAACCAAATGCTTTCCAAACCTCTACAGTATGCCTTTGAAGATCTTAAGTTAAGTATTTTCTTATGCTGACCAGTATAGCTTCCAAATAAGGAATAAAAAAATAACGTAGTTCTTAAGTTATTTTTTAAAAAATACCAGAAATGTAAAAACACATTCCAGTATGTGGATAAAAGCAAAATTTCACTTCCCCAAGTTTAGAAGTCTTGAACCAAATACACCTGATGTTCATTACCACACCCATAGCACATTGCTAATGTATGACAAAGTTCCAGCAAAGACCATATGCTGTTCTTATTATTGCTACTTCACAAGTTTTCCCAGGCTCACTAGAAAATGTATTCTACAAGACCAGCCCATTGAGTGGGCTCATCTTACTACACCGATGAAATTTAGTCTGCTGTTTACCTGATTAGCAATAAACATCTCTCCTTGTTTCCAACAGCACAGCAATTAGGGCCCTAATCTGTCACCACTAGCTTCAAGTTTGGCTTTCATCAAAAGAAAAGGAATTTGCCAAGAAGGAAAAACACAGCTCTACCTTCAAGCTAAAAACAGCTCTGTCTTCTAGACAATGTACACTTTCACACGGCTCCAGCAAACCTTGCTTCAAGCAGCCTACAACGGATAGATCAGGAGAAGTACACAATAGGCCCCAGTTTTAGGTACTGGTTTAGCTAAAAGATGCAAACAAGCAAAAGCTGATACAGAAAATTCAACCCAGGTGATGTAAAAGGAAATGAAACCTCTAATCTGTTGATACTTTTTGAGGGGATCAAAAATAGATAAAACTACTGGACATAGTCAATATATCTAACATTACAGAAACTTTTTATAAGCCTCTTCACCAAAGGCTTTGTTAAAAAGCTGTTATGGAAGTTACATTAAATATTTAGTCTTAGGTAGAAAACCAACTAAAAAACAACAAAGTAGAGGCAATTGCCTAGGTGGATCTTATTTAGCATCCCCATAGATTATCTACAAGATGACAATGATTATCTTACTATTATAATTACTTATTAAATGCCTTTCATGCCCTATGTGTTATAGCAAGCACTTTATGTACACTATCTTTTTTAATATTCTCAACAGCATCATTAGGTAGGTAACATTATATCAATTTTATAGAAGAATCTGAGGTTCTGAGACGTTAAGTAACTTGTCCAAAGACACTGTTAACAAGTAATGCCAAACTAAGGGTAATCGGTTAAACTAATTCACCAGTAAATTTGTTTTTCTAAAGTTTTCACAATGACAAAGTCATTTATTTATTTATGAGACAAGGTCTCACTCTGTCATCCAGGTTGGAGGGCAGTGGCACAATCACTGCTCATTGCAGCCTAGACTTCCTGGGCTCAAGCAGTCCTCCCACCTCAGTGTCCCTAGTAGCTGGGACTACAGGTGCACACCACCATGCCTGACAGATTTTTATTTTTAATTTTTGGTAGAGACAATGTCTCCCTCTATTGTCCAAGCTGGTCACAAACTCCTGGGCTCAAGCAATCCTCTCTCCTCAGCTTCCCAAAATACTTGGATTATAGGAGTAAGCCACCACGCCTGGCTGACATAGGTATCTATTAGTTTTTTTTAAAAAAATCACACTAATTTATTTCTATAAGGCATAGCAAATAAGAAAGAAGTAAGGGTTCCCTCACCTCAAGGGGACTAGAAATTTGTCATGGGTCAGTTCAGTCCTTGCTCACTATTGATGTTTATCAAATGTGAAAAAAGTTAATTCATTCAATGGATATCTAGTATGAGTACCTACTATGGACCAGGTAGTTATATCTATGCTAAATTTGATTGTGGAAAAGAAATATAAGGATTTGTCCATATCTACCAGAATGTTCCAACTGCAGCTAGAGTTCGCCCAGTTCTCATCAGCCTATGGGAACAAATAAGGTTGCATTAATCATGGCTTTCCCTGGGATGCAGCCATCAATCAAGCACTGCCCAAGTAGCTCTGGTAAATCCCTGAGTGCATCTCACCCATGATAATAAACAAGCCTTGTCAGATACCATGCGGCTTCCAATTTCTCTTGCCCCTCCCCAGCCCTCTCCATGGACATTGCTGGAACTGGAAAATAAGCCCTTCTCTTTAGATTATATTACATCCTATTAGAGTGGTCTCCAAGTAATCTTGCTGATACCTCCAGTGTCCAACAGTTTTAGCAAAAAAACTCATTTAATATTCATGTATAGCTTTCCTCTCAACTCTCTGGAAGACTAAGACATGATCTAAAGGGAGGCCAGAAATGGAGACAAATATGAGTCATAGACACCACACCATTCTCAGAATACCCCCCCTCCTCTGATGACTAAGGCTTGTTACTGGATCAAGCTGTCACCCCTAACTTCCTCACCCCTTATAATAATTATCTCCCAGGATTATCTTAAATCCTTTTACAAACAGACTTCTGACAGGCTCTGCCTGCCAGTAATTATAACATGTCCACAACATGGATAAACCACAGTGGGAGCCACTGTGTAGGCTTATGGCCATGTCCAAACACCCACTCCCCAACACATACTAAGAAACACTTTGAGGGTGAAGGGGGTGCTAAAGATGAAATTAAATTATCCTTGCATTCTGATATGGCTTATTTGGGAGTTGTGAAGGGCAGGCAGGATAGAACATACTTTCTGGGTAGGTAGACCCCAAGAGACAATGAGCAGGGTCAATACAAGAACAGCCTGTGTAGAATCACAAGAATAAATTAAGTTCAGGCAGATTGGCTCTAAATGGAGATTTGGTATATGAACAGGATTATCCAGAAAAAAACACAGAGACTTACAGATCTATTTTTATGGTCACTAACAGAGTATAACTTTAGGGAGTGTAAGTCCAACTTCCTCATATCTGAAAACAACAGTCCTCTGATACAGACAGTTGGTGCTTCACCCATATTCCCTGACCCACTTCTGTAGCATTGGTTGCCTATTGCTTTGGCAGACAGTTTACTTCACAAGCCAATGAGTTCCTACCTCAATCATTTGTGTCTCTCTGACTCTGAACTTCCTCTGCCTGAACAGCACATGCTGCCCATATTCAGGAAGGCCAGAAATGGTGGGGAGTTAATTTCTCCAGAGACAAACTTCAACCCATAAAAGATGGGAAATGGTAAATAAATGCCCCAGGTTCTTTACCCCTTGCAGCAACTACAGTTTCTTAGAGGCTCTCCGGCAGGACTGAGTCCCAGGTACCCATACTGGTAACTACTCCTGAATGCACTATCTGTTGATTTCTCACATGTCTCCATCCCATAATCTTACTCCTTCATGGTGCTTCCAGGGACTCCTTCAAAAATAAAATGCTTTCCTCCAAATCCTTGTTTCAGGATCTGATTCGGAGAGAATCCAAGCTAAGACATCTTTTTTCAGATAAGAATTCTCTCAAATACAAATTTGTGCTTCTCCACAACAACAAAGAGTTTTAAAGAAAGGACAACTAATTTTAGAAGCTTGAGAACCTTACCTGTACCCAACCTCATTATAAAAAAACTGACTTGAGTTCAAGGCTAAAAGAAACACAAAAGCTTCCAGGCAGGTTCCCATTGCAGAGAAGAAAGCTTGAGTTTGTCAAGGCAGGTAAAGTGAGAGAAATAGGAACCTCTTCTTCCTTCTCAATTTTATCCTCACTTTCAATGCAATGCAAACAAAAGACACAAAACAAAGGTCACCTCTGAGAAGAGCATTACAAACAAATCTGAGAACATAATTTTACTTTTAAAAATCAAACTGTAGAGCAGAGCCAAGATGGCCAACTAGAAACAGCTGTGATTGGAGGCTTCCATCAAAAAGAACAAAAACAGCATGTGAATCCTGCACCGGCAACCGAGGTATCCAGGTTCTGTCATCAGGACTGACTAGGCACCTGGCGTTTGATCTAGGGAGAAGAAGGAAGAGCATTGTGGTGCGGCAGCCCATCCTGAGAGCCAAATGGGGTAGGAGAGTCCC